ATACGTCCCACTGTTGCCACAGCCAAGCTGACCTAATGCGGGTTGGGGACTTCACATGTTTTTCAAAGGTTGTGAACCTTCATCGATGAGCAGGTTTCATTTGGGTATTTTTCTTCACAGATAGCGAGACGTACTGCTGCTAAAAATTTATAAATGTACTAGATACTTACCGTCAAAGGGATTTAATCCTCGACCTCAGAAATGAGAAGCAATCATCATACCCAGGTTACCACCGCTCTTCCAACGCTTGTCCAATCACAAAGCTTTACCTATCTATTACAAACCCTACCGAGGCATAATGAAACCAATTCGCGATTTCACTGACCCCGTACCGATTTCCCTCTATCACGAATCACAATGGAAATTCACATTTGCTATGTAAATTGCCAGTTCGCCGCAAACGCGTATTTTTAATTTGTTAAAAGCTCTCTGAAAAATAACAATCTGAAAGGCTGAATGCATATGCACTTTGCGGCCTCGCCTCTTATAATTAAAATTGCATTAGGTGCACAATACACGGACGTTAATGATCTTAATGTACTCCTTGAATAGAAAAATGCAACGACTGACGGTTTGTAATTTAATTTTGATGTTTCAAAGGCCTTAATTCAATTTCGTATCGTGTTTGAACGCATATTTTGAAACATGAAGGTTTTGTAGAGAACTAATTGGCAAGTCATTACGTCATTGGTGAGATGGTAGTTATTGAAGTCGGTAAACTGAAGTTTTAAAGAAACGGCATTGTCGTATGCAGGATGACAACAAGGTGCTACTTAGTGAAAGATATCATCAAACTTTTTATATATAAGAGAAAATGTTCGCTAACTTAAGCTATGATAATTAAATGAGAAATCAAATTTAATATTATAACGACAACAAAGGTACAATAGGCAATAACTATCTTTGCATTTCACTCCATTTACGTTTTAAGGGCGCTATTCAATATTATGCTCTATTTGAAGTCATAAATTCAAACATACTGCACAGGGACGAACAATGACTCTAAATAACCATTAATATGTAATAAATACTATGGGGTAATAATGTAGGGGACAAACAAACAAGTGGCAACCCTTAAGTTGGTCCATTGTTAAGAGAAAGCCGGGCGTACAATTAGTAGGGATATTTAGGGGCAAGTATTTGCTAAAAACTTTTATATGCTGCATTTTTTATCTGCTTCAAGAAACAGAAAAAAATAAAGGGATGATGGTATTAATCCAATTTTCTAGTACAACTTGTAGAACAGTATAAATGTCAGAATCGACACGTCAAGAAGAAAAAGTAGAAATTGACGTGTGAGTAAAAAATGTAAAACATGCATAATTTCGTTGAAAAAAATTCCTCGAAATTGCGCGACAAATTTAAATCTCAATGTACATTTACGCATTCAGAGCTTCAATTGACAACATGTTAATTTGGTCTGTATATTTTTATTAGTGCCAGTTAACACTACGATCAAAAACATAACGCTTAAAGAAGGCATAATGCAATCTACACAACCAAGATGTATCTGCAAAAAAATTGTAACCTAAAAATCAACACCCTAATAGATGGAAGGCGTGAAATACTAGGGATAAAACGACATGCGGTTCGAAGTCATCCCTCGAACAGAACCAAACAGCTCCAATTGGTTCCGCTCCGAATGCCGACAGCTGCTGATTTTCAGACACGAGGGAGATGAGAGGACGAAAGGGATGCAATGAAGGGACGTTCATTATTGCAACTTGTCTGTTAGAGATGGATGTTCTTGATGGTTTCCTGATGATGTGTGTTTGTATTGTTTTAGATGGCATTGAAATTTTCACTATAATGGGAACATTTGATTATATTGACACGTTTTGTTTTTGTCATTTCAACTCAATGCAATATCTCAATTTTGATGGATAGGTGCTCTATAATGATAAGGCCGTAGATAGGTGACGTGTTATAATCAATATTAATAGTAATATCGATCAAATAAAGCATTTATTTGCATTCATTCCGCACATTTGGCCACTATTGATTTTATTACACCAAAATTCATGGACAAATACCCCAACAAAGGGGACAATACATCAAGCGTAACATTAAACAAAACTGAACAACAATACTGTAGTTTCGATTAGTCGCGCCCGCGGATTAGTGAGTAAAAAAAGATTGGGGTCCGTTCGACCCGACGTGTTAATTACAGGGGTTGAACTAGAGGGGCTACAACAGATGAAAGTCAATTTGCTGCTGCGACATGATACGGCTCATTTCATCGGGAGCGACAAGTGTGGCACCTGCGCTTTTTCACTGTAAGGGGCTGGCCATTGTGCTCTTTGCAAACAATTGGGGAAATTGTGTCCCATTGTGTTTGTAGGCGCAAACTGTCGAAGCGGCAATTGAATTGCTATAGTAAAATAAACAACACTTCGTACTAACAATACAAAGTTAATCATATATAGAGTTAATATTATGTTCTTTATAAAATAATATTCAAATTGTTTTTAATGTTACATGTTATTGTAAGTAAACTGACTATTTTTCTTTGCAGAAGAAATCAAATTTGGCATCAATCGCTTAGTCGGCGAAAAGCCAGATGAAGAAGAAGAGGAACATCACAACAACAATGAACAAATCAGGCCTGAAGGTATATCGCCAGCTTCCCGCTGTGGAAGCCCATCCTGGGTTCCATCTCCGCAATCGCCAAGATCAGTTCGCTCTAGTTCCCCTGAATTAGAAGTGGATTCTCCTCCATCTTCACCCAGAAGGCCACCAGATTCTTCGCCACCACCAAAGAGATCGGAAGCCTTCTCTGTAAGCGCGTTGCTAAGACCTGATGCACCAAGAGTTCAACCTCAAAGGCCATTTCTCTATCCTCCATTGCCATTCGCGGAGTTTCTTCGAGATGCTAGAAGTCTTGGCTTACCTGGTTGGGGAGGCTACAGCAATCTTTACCTCCACGCTGTGCAAGCAGCTGGACCCGAACTGCTACGACTTGGAGCAGCAGTTCTTGGAGCTCCAGGACCATTGTCAAGGCCTCTACCGATAGGAGATGTGTATTCTTGTGTCAAGTGTGAGAAGATGTTCAGTACTCCTCACGGTTTGGAAGTACATGCTAGAAGATCCCATAATGGGAAGAGACCCTTTGCTTGTGAGCTGTGTAGTAAGACTTTTGGTCATGAAATCAGTTTGAGTCAACATAGGTGAGTTTTATTTTTATTCACATTTTTGTTCATCTTTCTTACGTCTGCAAGCCCGTTCGCAAATTTTTGATTTTCGTACATTTGATTGTTTTTCCTTCAGAAAGAGTCCTCATATAAATTATTTTGCTAAATATTTTCCTTTATAGTTTTTTCTGTATCTTATAATCTCCCCTCTTCGCAGGGCCGTTCACAGCGTGGAGAAGATCTTTGAATGCAAACAATGTGGCAAAACCTTCAAGCGTTCCAGTACTTTGTCCACACACCTCTTGATTCATTCAGACACCAGGCCCTACCCTTGCCAATACTGTGGCAAACGGTTTCACCAAAAGTCTGATATGAAAAAGCACACTTACATACATACTGGTAAGTTATTGTTTGATACTATCACATATTAAGGTGGGGTTTATCTTTCAATTTAGGATATGGTGTTTCAAGAACAAGCTTAAGATGATTAAAAGAGCGACAAACAAAAATGTAAAACCAAATTAAATTCTCATAAGTCAAGGTTGGAGAATTACATACCAAAAATCTTCTAAACATTTGAAACTACTCAAACAAACTTTAACTCCACAAGATCCCTAAAGTAACGCAATCTCGCTTACAAATTTATGGAACCACAAACAACACAATATCAAGGCAGCGACGATAATTCAAGGAAAACTTCCTTTGAGGCCATTTACTTACTCGACATAATTCAAAGAGGGAACTCTGTCAAAACATCTTAAGCTCCCCCCTTGGCACATAATTAATATACATTAACACCTAAGACGAGGTGGGTGTTTTATAATAATCGCGTAATGCTCGGAGATACATTTGCGGTTGTATTAGAGAAGCGATTGCGTTGCAACTACATACGGACAATGAAATTCATGAAATCTGACTTAATCATTATTTTGTACCATAACGGGTAAATTTTTATTATGTTTTTGCTTGTTAATAGGAAAATGGAATTAATCCTACTTGATTTTGTCGTGACTTTTATTGAAAACAAAATTATCGTTCCGAACTTTTTTCTGTATTTAGTTAAATTATTACTGAAGTTAATAATAATTTACCTAATGAATAATTATCTACACAAATTGTTGTAACAAAACAATCCAATCATTATTAAGCTACTGATCGAGTTTATGATAACTAACACTCTATATTTAAACACAAATTGATAGAAAAGCAGAAAGTCTTTGGACTTTCAAGTGTCAAGCGTGATATGTTCTTGACTGTAAAAATTTTTGATCGATTGACAAATTAATATTATTGTGATACTAAACTTACACAATATAAAAAACCTTACTAAACTACGGTGACGATATCTAGAACATTGTCTTGTTCATCAACCATTACATCTGTAAGTTCGTATATGAGTCCCTTCATGAATATAAGATGTTGCGGTCTGTACCTCGTTCTCTCTAACACTTAAGTCGTAGAAGATTCGGAGCCCTCCACTTACCCTCAAGGGCTACTATGATTTTCAGAGCCCGTTGTCACTTTACCACAATACCCTTAATGTTCGGCAAATTCACACCTTTGGCTTTCAAATAATTTTCTTGCTTACAATATACACATACCAGCAAATTTAACGAAAGAAAAAAGTGAAACATCTAATAGTAATGTTAATATTTAAATAAAAAATAATGAACAGACAGTAAGTAGCATTTAAATTAACAAGTTTTAACATCGTTTTAAAACAGCCAAAGTATATTGAAAAAAAAAAAACACAATGTACTTATTTTTTGTTTCGTTACATGTTACGACGAAGCAGAAACGGCGGAAAATCAAATCAAATTCAATCAAAGTAAAAACAAAATCAGAGCGCCTTAAATAAAAACGAGTAAAATAATCGGCCAGGCTTTTGTAAAGACTGTATTATTCTGGGAACTTTACTAGTGTTCCGCTAAATGTGCCGTGTGTGTTTACCTCGTACATAATATCATCAAGTAACTGTACAGAACGAGTAGTATAGGCAGAATCAAGATGGTCGACCACATTGTTAAGTAATAACTGTACTTAAAAAGCACCCTACAACGTATGCTGTAAGATGTCAAACATGCTTGTGGTTTGACGATTGTCGTTGTAGTGGATTTAATACAAAAACGCTGTACTAATTCTTTAAACATTGCGTCAAAAATTCAAGCGTTGTAAAACGCCCTACATCCATCTTTACCTATTGAAATACCTACTTCGCTCCCTAGTTCATTTAAGATAAGGGTGGGGGACCTCTGTGATTCAGACGCATAGATTCACCGTTTTTATTGCTTAGACTGTGCGTGCGAGCAGGACAAAAGTTATAATGACATTAAGCGAGAAAGAGAAAGTGAATTGAAGGGTTGGGTTAGTTATTGGGGCACATGTTTCAAGTGATGTAGATAGGTACAGGAGGATAGTAATGAATACATTTCCATATTTTAAATTTTTAGTAGTGTTTTGTGGAAAGAGGTTTGGATTTGTTTTTCTTTTCTAAAGTTGTAGAAGACTTCAATCCAATCAATTAGATTTAAATGATACTGACAGCCATTGCCATGAACTTCCGCTATGGATTAAACTAAATTAAAAATAATAATTTACTGGGAATAGTTGATATTTTCACGTTGACTTAAATGTACACCGTGATTTCCTTTTAACGTCCACTTAAAACCGCTTAAAATAGTAACGAATATATACACGTTTCTACTAACTACAAGATCAAGAGATCACACAAACAACTTATGAACAAAACCACACCTGATCCAACCCCGAAACACCCCACGTGTAAATTATTAACAATATCAACTCAGCGAATAGTTGCCCGAACGGCATTTTAATCAGTGTCCCAACTTCTTGATTAATGTGCCCTCCGCAATTTATCGTCGAAATTTTATTTATAATTACTCCCGCGAAATTAAACGGTTGAACATTAGTCAATGTCAAGATGTAGGACCGCGGCCCCCGATTTGTCACCTCACCAGAACCAGTTTAATTCGACGCTAATTGAGCTCGGAAGTTTGTTACCCCCGAACTCCTAGTACCTGTTGTTAGTACGGCAATTTCCGACTTAATAGTTACGCTAGTTTGTGAACTGTTGAGGTAATTAATATCAGTTAGTGCTCTGAATTATTCATTTTCCGGTTTAATAATATAGGTTGACTTTGTTGAGTTTAATTGTAATGAGTCAAGTGTTAATCTTATGCGATCTGTAGATATTGTAACGCGGAAACAATTAAGGTATAAATGCAGGTCCTTGTAGAACACCTTACAATGTCAAAAAGAATATTGCATGTCATATGCTTTTCCAATTAAAAACTCACTCTGTGACAACGGAAAAAAGACATTAAAAAACCGTTTTGCTAAAAAAGTTATCTAAACATTTCTCATTTCATTTCATGAATGTTTGATTTACCAAATGCCCCGTTAAGGTATTTTTTAAAACTCTTTCCTCTCTTAATTAGTCAGGGAATAAACAAGTGGCACATTAGCTCTCGGAATAATTACACAGCGGCTGTTTCTATCTCTGTTTTCTTTTTTTTAAGTCAGCATTACTTCCCCAGACTCGGTTTGCGGTGAAGAATTTAAAAAGCATTTGCAAAATTGGTTTGCATTGTGATGCGATTAAAAAACATCGTGGTGGGCTTAATTGGTTACAATTATGACAGACTGGAATTTCGAAGAATTTCGCATGAGAGCTTGCATTTTTATAAATATCCGAATCTTTATTACCATTAAGACAACAAATATTGTTATGAATCTTTTAATTTGAATGTTTCCAATGTACATATATACCAGTATATTTGTACGAAAGCCGTCTCGGTGTCCTGTTTTAGTTGAACTTGCAATTACAATACCTCCTTCTCTGTCGGTCTCTGACTACCTGGGGTTTAATAGATCTTCTCCATTTACTTTTATCTTCGGTTAGGTAAAGTGCCACATACACCAGAACTGTCAGGTTTTCAGCTATCTTGTCACCCCATAATTTTGAACTTCGTCCTCTAGTTCGTTCGCCTTTTACTTTGCCCATTGTTAAGTTTCTTGATATTGTCATCACTCTCTACGTGCGATATAGCTGAAGTGTTATAGAATACCGAGACGGCAGACGGGAACACAAGTGGCTTTTTTATAATTGCATAATTACTGTGAGTATTAAAATAAAGATCAAAATCAGAAAGAGAATGATCTAAATACGTACTAAGAAGAAAGAACAAAATTAAAAGTATAAAACACTTCATAATAGCCATTCTCGTGCCAAATGTCCTTTACTTGCTGCTCACAGCCCCTCTGATTAGTTTTTAACGCCTTTTCTTAAAAATAGCAAAAGACATTAAAGACTTCTTAAAGGCAACTTCGTGCTATGTAATTGGATTCCTGAGGCAATTCCAAGTTGGAACGGTTACAGTATGCAAATGAGATTCCCGAAAACCCTTGATTTCATTTAAAATTTCCAATTGAATTATTAAGAATTTTATGTAACTTAAAATACTCAAATATATCATTATATGGACGCAGAAAGTATTTTTAGTAACATATTTGTAATAGAAATAATTGTTAAGTAATACTTATATATATTTAAAAATAAATCAGGCAATTTAATGCGCATGTAACGCTATCTAATCTTTGTTATGAAACATAGTACAAAGTAAACATCAATGTTATATAAAATCAAAATTTATGCGGAAAATAACATTATTTTATTATAATATTAAGAGAGAAAAAACATGTGAAAACCACAATCACTTATAAAGAGGCAAAAATAACATCTGTAAAAGTAGTCCAATCTCTCAAAACCAATTCCTCGTACAAGATTCCAGACTTCAAGTATTCAGTCCACACAAGCTGGGGGGTGGAAATCTAAGCGGTCCATAAGGAAACGGGGGTTGAGGTGGACACAGGCAGGTTGGGGGAGGGGGGAGCCTCAGGGGGACTGAATCAAGGAGTGCTACGTGCCTGGAGTTTAATTAAGGACTCCCGAGACTCTTGGGATACTTCGATTTTTAGTGGCATTTCGTTTAATTCGTTAAACACGTACTTTAGTGAAATAGGATTTATTGCGATTGTAAAAAGACAGATTGAAAACATGTCTAAGCAAATCCTAGCTCTTGTAAGTGAAACAACAAGTACTAAATGCTATCTAGTTTCAAACACGTGATAGATTTTAAAGCTATTAATATTTATATGGATACGTGGATTATAAGATAACACTAAACATTCCTTGACATTGAAAATGGACGGTAACTATGAGACTTTTGCAATGGGAATAGTATATCTTAATGTGAACTAATGAAGACTATCAAACTTAGCAAATAAGGTAGTAAATAGGTAAATAGAGAACTCGTGACCGTGGAAGAAGCCGTGGTAGCCTAATGGTTTGATCTACTGTCTTTCAAGCAGAGGGTCTT